TCGGGTTAATTACTCCCAAAACACTTCTAAGATGAGCAGGCAGGGTTCACCATGAAGCTTTTCAAAGGTTCGTCTAACAGGTTAGAGTCAATAGATTCACTCGGCAAACAGATGTAGAGCCCCCCTTCCCGATGGCACATTGACACGTACCCTATACACATGGGGACAGAGGCCGCACTATACCCGATTCGGTAAGCCATTCTTACACCAAAAAAGATAACCACTAACAAGCTAGAAAAGGTCCTCATACTGAGCTAAAGCCATAGCCATATAGCCCTCACAGCTATACTGTAAGACCCAAATGATCACTTACAGATAAGTCTTTAGGTAGAGTAATCTGAAGTATTTAGAAAATAGCTAAACACTCCAGCCCCCTATTTCCAAGTTGCTTAAAGGTTATATTTTATTGTTTGTTGCATATACCATTAGTCAAGTTACAAGATCAAGGTTTAATTGAGCACTAGCAAAGCTACCCAATGCATATCTCATAGGTGACAAGGTATAAGTTCAATTCTGGGGAATCCCTATCAAGGTGACACATGCAACATGAATTAAATGTATTAAAGTTGATAGGAAACATGGATAATCCTATGCTATACTTGCCTTGGACAAAGTGCTCCTATTGATCCTGCTCGTCAAAGTAGTACTCTAGATCACCCATGAATTGCTCAACGTCTATACTCGATAATTACAGCAACATACAAGCATCCAGAAGCAATCATGCATAGCAAACAAAAGCTATAGATTAGAACAATACACCAATCAGCATAAAATCAAGATGAAAAGTTTGTAAAACGAATCTACTTCTGACTACGAACACATAGACGTGAAGATCACAAAAAACGGAGATAAAACGAAGAAGTTATGAATTAAGCAAGATTTCCTTTAGTAAAATAATAGATTAAATCTAACCTTTTAACAGTATTTAACAGTAGTATGAACATGTAGATTATAGAATTACGAACCTAACGCAAATTGAACGGATCAAATCGGAGTTAAAACGAAGATTTTATGGCCTACAGAAGGCAGTGGCAGTTTTGTAAATAGACGAAACTTAATTTTCGAATTTAAAATAATTAAAATCTAATTTTAAACCGAAACAGGGACTGCGGGCATGAAAATGAAGAAATACAGGGGCTCTTTAACAAAATTGCAGGGATGGCGGGTTGAGATCCAAATAATTATAAGAGCCTTTTTGCAAAACGATAGGCGAAGGGGTATCTTAAAATCTGGACCTTTGGATCAGGATTGGACGGCGTGGATCAGATCGGAGGGGAAGGGAAACGGCCGGCGAGGATGGCGGCGAGCCCCGACGGCGGCGCCATGGCCGGAGACGGTCGGCGCTCATGAAATACGGTCTATGGACCATGAAATAGCAACCCAAGGACACCGGGAGCTAGAGGAGAGCAAGGCGAGCTCGTCTATGTAACTTACCAAGGCGCGGACGGATGGGAGCGGCGCGCGACTTCAGCGGATTGATCTCGGCGGCGGCGGCTAGGGCTAGCGGCGGCGCTGCGAGCTCGGGACGAGGTGAGGCGGCTTCGAAGCTTGGGAGGGGAGCGGCACGATGCGGGCATCTGGTATTTATGACCGGGAGCGGCTTGGGGCGCAAGCCAAGGAGGGAGGCGTGGGCGGCGCGGACTCCCGGCGGCGGTCGTGTCCGGCGCGGAAACGAGTAGAAGAAGGGGAAGGCCCTGACGTGCGGGCCCAAGCTATCAGCGAGAGGAGAGAGGGGAGAGGAGAGGCGGCTGCGATGGGCTGCTGGTTGCTGGGCCGAGCTAAACGGGCCGCTGTGGAGAAGCGGGGCCTTCGGGGCGAGCCGAAGCGGGAGAGAGGGCAGGCCGCGCGGGAGCTGGGCCAACAGGCCGAAAGCAAGGGAGGGAGAAAAATTCTTTCTCTTTTTTCTTTTCTAATTTTCCAAACCAATTTTGAAATACAAATTCAAATCAATTTGAAGTTTGATTTCAAATCACACAATTCAAAAATAATATGCAGCAGCATAAATGCATAGACATGAATATAGACCTATATTTGATTTTAATTTTAACAAAGTTATTATTTTTCTAAATTTCAATGCTAACAAAATACATAATTAAATTATTTTCTTCTATTTTAAAACCATGCAAATTTTAGGGTGTCACACCCCACCCACCCCAGAAAGAAAAAAGCTTCGTCCCCCAAACTATACGAGCACGTTGGCCACTCTGTAAGGCAGACGGTCCCAGTAGTATCTTTAATTTCCAGCCTTGCTTATGGTATTCTCACGCAACACAACAACAAGAGACCTCTGATCTACACGGCAGGGTTCGGTTCCTCATGTCATCTGTACTTGTTCAGGAGTTTCATGACTTCTCCGGAATTGATTGAGTATTAAATTTGGGCTGTACATTTTTTACATGCATGCGGCCACCAGATCAAGCGTTGTAGCCGATCATCATTTTTATCCTAATACCGGATGGTTCAGGCTTTGTTCGGTATAATTTTTTACGCTGGGAATTAGTGGATCACCATGCCTGACCTACCCTGTAGGCGAGCTGGGAATTAGTCTGCCTGTTATCTCCAATTAGCTACTAAAATGTAATTAGTACTTCTTTATTTTCTCCCTCAAAATTGATCTCCAAGAGCATATAAATTCTTTGAGATTAGTCTTCCTGTTATCTTCCTTATCTTCATTGTTCCTGTTGTTAATATGGTTCTTTTTTCTGGGCTAAGAATTAGATTCATCTGGTGAGCTCTAGATACCTAGGGCTAATTAATTGTGTTCGCTTTTTCTTTGAAATATTCAGCGCTCATTGCCTAGTTTTTAGTTTTCTTTTCTATTACAATACAAATACTTTTTGGGCTATTATGTATAGTTTGGTCGTGTATGCATTTGATCATGCATGATTTTTATCGATTTAAACAGTGCTAGCCACGATGAGAGTGAATTGAATTATGTTGATAGTTCTGGAAAAATTATGCAACTAAAAAATCCCAAAATCATGTTTAATCTTACAAAATTTGTTTTAGCTCGAAAAAAATTATGAAATCAGTTTTTGATTTTCCTCAAATAGATGCTCTATCTTCTAGTGCCTAGTTATTTGAATCTTTTATGGTCCTCTTTTGGTTTCTATTTGCTAGTATATGCTATATATATATATATATATATATAATATAATATAATATAATTAGCCGATATTGACGTCATGGGCTATGTAGAAGCCAAGTGACTTTGACGACCGATGCGCCCTGTTCGCTTGGCTGATAAGACATGTCTGAAAGTACTATTAGCTGATTTGTTGTGAGAGAAAAATATTGTTCGTTGACTGAAAAAGTATGGCTTATAAGCCAAGCGAACAGGGCGATACCAGTGTCATGTAATCACCTCTTGCTTGATCTTATTTAGTATGAACACATGTGTAACTTGTGTTCATATCATAATTTTTATAGCAGAAGCTTAAAGAAATGTTCTTGATGTACAAGAAATTGTTGTACCTTAAATTCAAATTGTTCTAGCTTCACACTAGAAAAATATTTCTCATGCAGATACAACATTTTTTGTTGTAGCCAAAAAACATTTTGCTCCTGAAGCCATCACATTTTTCATTGTAAATCTAGTATTTTTCAAATAAAACTAGAACAATTTTATTAGTGGTTTAGCTTAATGAGAACAAATGTTAAACCTTAAAAATAAAAGACATTGGACGGTCTTTGAAAAAATGTTGTTCAATAAAAATAATGATACGTAAGGCAATCATAATAATAGTGATGTATGGGTTGATGAAAAAACTATTACGAAACAAAGGGGAAATGGACAAGATGAAAGGAATTTCTAAATAAAAGTAATAAAGAGAGAAAGAAGAAGTGAAAGGAAACACGGATTTTAAAGCAGCAAGAAAGGAATAAAACAAAGCAAATAAATAATTAAAAGTAATAACAAAAAATACGGAAGAAAAAGATTGTCTTCCTGATCACCAAACATAAGAAGAAAAGGACTATCATTGTGCTGAGATTATACACAAAGAATTATAGAAAGGAAAGGAAATACATACTTGCTGCTCCATGGACCAAAAACCTCCCAGGTGGGCCTTGTTGCATGCAACGTGAGAGAGTAACGAAGCAGGCGGATAGGATGATGCTCTCTGTCGGTGACATGAAGGACAGTGTGTCGTCTAGAAAGGTGGAGCCCAGATGTAGCAGCCGACTCTACAGCAAGAGAGCCCACCGGTCATGGTCGTGTTGCATTACTTGGGCCTTAAACTAGAAGAGCTCATATAACTAGAGTCTTGGTTTTTTGCTAAAAAAAACTAGAGTCTTGGTTTGAAGATCTCATTAACATGTTCTCTCTTCATCTTAAATAATAATTAACTTTATTTTGTATTTCAAAAAAAAAAGTTATACGGTCAAAGTTATATAAATTTGATTTAGGACAAAATCAAATTGAACTACAATTTAGAGCTGAGGAAGTAGTAGTTCTATTGACTTTCACTTCATCGTCCTCATGAACTAGATAAGTTCTGGCACCAATACTTGGGGTATCAACTAGTAATGAGGATTGAGGAGCATGCTTTGCAGCATCCCAGAGTAAAGAACTGATTCCCCTTTGTGGAGCAGTGGTACAACCCAGCAGAGAAGAATGTGCTATACCCTGGAGATAAGAAAAGGATGCTGCTGGTGAGCAACATTCTCCGTAACTAAAACCAACATGCAAGCGTTAACATATAATAATTTATTTTGTTATTACGATCTGACAACATATGACAGGCTTCAGGGAATAATCCAAGCATGTTAAGATGGATTGGGATACATAAAAGCATTTGTTTTTCAGGGAATTACCTTGTCCTACAACTGATATATTATTCTATTTTAGTTGGTAATTATATGTTTTACTTGGCAGTTTATTTGCACGTGCAGCTTTGCTCTTCATCGAAGCAAGCATATATCCACACGAAAAGCGCAAAAGTTAGCATTCTCACTCCATCTCTACAAGCACATTTAAATACGAGAACCGGCCGGACACCATGCGCGCGCTGTGCTTGCTTCTTCTCCTGACAAAAATGAGACCACTGAGAAATGATGGGGAGGTTGGCTGTGGCAACCTGACGGCAAAACGAAGGTAACAAGATTTAAGTTTCTTGTTTTTCCTTTTGCGTGTTTAAATATTCTATAGTGTATATATTCTGAGGCTCCATAGCTCTATCTTTCTTGGATTTGACTATAATTGGAACGTGCAAAAATGATGTCTTAGGTTAAACAATCACCATTAGAATTTAGAAATGGACATTTGCACTTGCAGCCAATAAAAACAGTCTATTTTTCTCTGGAAACAATTTTCAGAGGAAGCTGCTCCAATTTTTCATGCTATTTTTTAGAACTGATTTTTATTGGTGGTAGTCTTAAGTTTGTGAATGAAATAAATCAATATTCATAGACCATTAGCTTATGATAAATGCCTATAAAAAACAATTTCCATAGGCACCCTTTAAAACGTTAGTGAAAATGTCCACTGATAACTGACTTTTTTTATGGCGGTAGAGTGGATGCTTATCTTACATATCGATGTATGACTTTATGTAAAAAAGAAAAAACCTTATCGATGTCTGCACACCCTCCACCTTGCCGGTGTAGGGTTTTTTTTTCCTCCTCGGCCTCCGCTTCCCCTGGGCGCCGCTGTGGCTCATGGTCCTTCAGACGGTAGGAAGGCACCAAGATGGGAGGTGTCGTCGCGGTCCGCCCTCCCATTCATACGACGTGACTGGGGAGAAGCTTAGGCTTCTTTTGGGCATGGATAGGACCGTCCCTAGTCCAGATCCAAAATAAATTAATTATAATTAATTATCTCAATGCTTTAAGGTCTGTGCAATTTTTTTTAAAGACCACGGAGCAAAAACTCTTTTGGAAAATGCCATCAAAAGAACTCTATTATGTGATATAACACCGAAAAATCCAAACTTTAACCCGAAATAGCATCCCCTCATGTTGTCAACCAACAGCATGAACCCCCACCATTAAGGCCCATAAGCCAGTGAGATGCCTTCTTCTCCCTGCCCCATGTTTTCTCATCTCCTCAATTTGCTCCTCTTCGCCAGCTCATCCGTCAGCCTCGCCGTCTGTCTCCCACTCTAGCATCGGGGGGATGTGTATTGTAGGGAGCTCTATCCTGTTGCTGTAGTCTGCAGTTGCAGAAGGGGCAGCTGCGCCGATGGGAGAAGAAGATAGAGAAGGGAGAGCAGCTACTGCTAATTTTTTTTCGAGAACGTGCTTAGGCACGTATTTCATTAAGCAGAGGGCAGCTACTGCTAATTTGGTTTTGTGGCTTGCAGCTGGTGGCTCAAGTGGTAGGACGAGGAGAGCTGATGGCTCTATTTAGACTACAGATGGCCGCCTGTAGCCAGCCACGCTCTCCCGTAACTCACCTCCACTAGGCTGTGCACTGGCTATAGGCCGTGTCCTAGCATGCCTGCGATGGTCAAAGGCTAGGTATGAGCCCATGTGGCAGTGGCTGTGCCATGTAGATGGCGCGGATCCTGGTGCTAGCACGGCAATGAGCAAAATTGGAGAGGAGGAGCAAGAAGGAGAAGCTGTCTAGCAAGAAGTTTAGGTGTGAGAGCAGCAGGACGGCGAGCATAGGAAAAAGGCGAGGGGATTCTTCGCTAGAGCTCGGCATCAGAAGAAGGGGAGGAGCTAAACGAGGTTGACCATGTGTTAGCTATAAACCATGAAAGGATGCCAGTTCTTGACAACGCAACATTCTTTTAGTGGTGTTTTACGTTACGTCATTACGTGTCCGAGATCATTCAATAGCATTTTTAAAAAATGGCGTTCTTTCAATGCTGCAGAACCAATTTTTCCTTCTGAATAACACTTGTCTGTCTCTGATCGATTTCTCAGCCTGGACTTGGAGCATGCGGAAAAGGCATGGGACGAGTGGGAGATCCACTGCCTGATCCTCGTGAGCCTTTCCTTGCAAGTCTTCCTCTCCCTCACGGCGGACCTGCGGAGGCGCAGCGCGTCGCGCGTGCTGAGCAATGCCCTATGGCTTGCCTACGTGTCGGCCGACAGTGTGGCAGTCTTCATTCTCGGCCACCTCGCGGTCCACGCGCAGGGGCGGAGCCACCACCTCATGCTGTTCTGGGCGCCGTTCGTGCTGGTCCACCTGGGCGGGCAGGACAGCATCACGGCCTTCTCCAAGCAGGACAACGAGCTGTGGACGAGGCACCTGCTGGGCTTGGTCACCCAGACAGCGGTGGCCGGGTACGTGGTGTCCAGGTCGTCTTGGCCGGATGCTCGGCTCAGGGCTGCCATGGTGCTCATATTCCTTTGTGGATTCCTCAAGTACGCCGGTCGCACCTTCTACCTTTACTCAGCCAGTCCAATGAGTCTCAGGGCTTTATCCATGGTTAGTTTGTCACTTAGGCTAGGCTGGTTTCTGCAAGATGACGCGAATCGAGATGCTAAAGAAAGGTTTGAAGAGATGTTGGTTGATGACATCATGTTGGTTGATGCTCTGGATGACATCAGGTTGGTTGATGATCTGGATTATGTTGTCGCCTTAGCTAAATCCGAGGTGCTGGGGAAGATTGAGGATAGAACATGCTACCTGTACGCGGCCGCATCTCTGGGACAATCCTACCAATTGCTCTACACCAAAGCACCACTTTCAAAAATCTTGGGTTATCGGGTTCCCAAAACTACGGGTATTCTCATTTACACCCTCTTCCAGAGCATTTCAACCGCGATAGCCCTGGTGCTCTTTGCGTCTGCTCAAAAGGAGGGACATCACAGTAAAGCAGACATCATCGTGTCCTACATATTGCTTGTTGGGGCCTTAGTCCTGGATCTGCTGCCTGCATGCACGTCCATTGTCTCCTATGTGAGAAAACCATTTCGTCCTAGAACGGTGGTAGAATGTCCAGGCTGGCGCACAAGAAAGCAGTGGTCAGAAGAGCTAGCACAATACAGCATGATAAAGAGGTACACTAGTGTGCAGGGCTACTACGCATGCCTTACTACATCCTTCTGGAGCAGGATCCTTAAACGTACACCCTTTGCTACCTGGTGTGTCGAGCTCCTTGACTTAAAACGCACACCAGTTACTGATGATCTCAAGAAGTTCATCCTCGACAAGTTGTTATTTCGGCAGACCACGAGACAAGAGTGGAACTTTGCCAGCTTCCGTAGTGAGAGAGCACTTGACAAGTGGATGGACAGCCATCGAGTTCCAGAACTAGCTGAAAGGTCAGGCTATGTACTGCACAAGAGCCTCAGCAGAAGAGCTGAGTTCCCAACAAGCGTGCTCATGTGGCACATTGCAACGGACATCTGCTACTACTCAGAGGACAATGGACCTGATAAAACCAAGACGAGGAAGAAGCTGAGCAGAGAGATATCGCATTATATCATGTACCTGGTGTTCAAGTGCGATGTCATGCTTACACGTAACTCCCGGCTTATGCACACGAAAGTTCATGAAGAACTCGCAAAATTCTTTTCACATGATCATCTAGATGAGAAAAAAACTACGATGATGTTGTTTGAAGCTATGAAGAAAAAATTTGTAGAAGCACATCGACTTTACTCGACACAGGAGGTGGCCAACGACGATGCTGCTGCTGCTACCTCCGGTGCGATAGAGGAACTTCTGTTGACGACAGTGGGAGCGCTTCAAACTCCAGTGCAGCCTCTAGCCAGTGTTCTGGCCCAGGAGCTGATCTCCATCCAAGACGAAGCTAGGCGCTGGGAACTCATCTGGGAGGTGTGGCTGGAGAAGTTTTTCTACATGGCGCCTCATTGCGGGGCCGCTTTCCACTACGAGCATCTCAGCACCGGTGGGGAGTTCATCACGCATGTTCTCCTTCTCATGCGTTCTATATATAGTATATAGTATAATAGTATATGCCATATACTATTATAGTATATGGTGCTTAATGAGGTACGCCGTTCTCCAAGTCACTTGTAATAAATTCCCAGTTTCTTTCCCTTGTGGCAAGCGAATAGACATGGGACTTTTTTTCTGCTGTGATTCCAATTTTCCAATTCAGGATGTGAGGTGTGTAATGACTTCTAAATTTTGTGTATTGTGTGTTGGATACTAAGGTTGTCGTATTTAGTACCATAATCCCTTATGAAATCATGAAGATGACCAAGAGAGAGGATAAATTTGCTCTCTATAAATTTAACAATCCAAGCAACTAAGAGAGACCACAACTTGGGTCTTCTAAAAATTTAAAGAAGCAAGAAACATACTAATAATGACCAATTCACCCGTGCACATAGAAGCTTGTGTGTCAATTCCAAGTGTCTAACGTACAAAAGATTTTGCAAGATATCTCATAAATGTACATTGCAAGATATCCCATAAAGCAAATGCTAAATATAATGGAGGAAACAAGAAACCTAAATTTTCCTGAAGAGTTGGCAATTTTCACTACTACATGTAGCGCACTGGAGAGGGAATCATCACTCCCGCTTAGTCTATGTGAAGAGCTCAAGTGTTCTGTGTAGGTAGGGAACACTACTACAAAGGTTATTTTCACAATCTGGCTGAAGCGGGGGCCATGCCCAACTCAATCACAAGGTCGTAATAACTAGAGAACTTTAGAAGCCAGCCAAAGTACCTCCTCTATAGTTGTTTCCGGGTGTGTTAGGATGAGTCCGGAGATCCGCTTGGCTTCAACGCAGGACTAGCCGATCCTGCGAATTCCTCCCGAGATGTGCCAGTCAATTTGACCTGTATTTGGCAAGAAGAGAAAGTTTATCAGTAATTTAAGGTAGAACATGTCGGTTTTTGCCCAGACAGTTCCAAGTGTGCCGCTTCGGGAGCAGCCAGACGGGAAAATCGACTAAATGGCCGATACGCGAAGAAATCGGTTGTTACGGGCTGTAAAGCTCGTGGGTCGCGATTGATTTCATGTTGACAAGTATAATGCACGTAGATGTAAGTAAGATCATCAGCTAGGTGGGTATTACCAGCACGAAGCATTGAGCCGATGAATCTAACGAGAAATGATATAGCATTCAAATAAATCGACTGTCTAGTACAAATGGATCTACAAACGCGCTGAATCTAATCTGTTACCATCAACAGTGAGGTTCGACCGGATCGATGGCAGCTATTTTAATAAAAACAAACTAAAACCAAAGAATCCGTAAAACCATCTACACATTGACAGATTTTCCGAAAGACATGCTATATGTCTCAAAGCTCGAGTGAATCGACTGAAATAGCCGATTCAGGTGAAAAAAGACTACAACATGTGAACAATCGACTATTTAACATGGACAAATCTATGAACTGATCAGACTTAACCTGATATCTCTAACAGTGGGATTCGATTGGATCGATGGCAGCCGTGATAAAGACAACAAATTAAACCCTTAAAGTAAACAAATCTATTCACATTTAACAGAATCATGGAGACACACTGTAGGCGTTAAAGCATAGGCGATCGGCTATTTAGCTGATGCAGGCATAGCACACAGTTAAGGTCACGCCTAATCGAGAACAAATCTACCAACTAGCATCCTCCGATCTAAAGTGCCTTCAGTGGGGATCGACTGGATCGTTACACCTGTAATAGCGAACTATAGACCAGATTTAACTAGCCAGCAAACCTTTTCAAGATCATACGTGCCTTAACCGCGTACTATGCACGATCAAGATCGAAGTAGAACAGCCGATGAAACATAACCTATCGCTCAAAGTAAGAAATATCGTATTGTAACAGAACAAACGACGGACTAAAAGGATGTGAGGCCGATCTAGATCGATCTCGATCGGGCAGGTTGATGTTGCTGAAAATTAATAACAATAAGAACATCAGCAAAATCGGTAACTTAATGAATCTACCCGAAGGACGCCACCCTTAGGTAGAGCCGATAACTTGACCTTAATCTAATTCGAACAGTGGAGGTCGAACTTAACCGATGTAGCCGTACTTGAACTAGAAAAGAGTCCATAACTAGCTTATACTAGAGTTTGCAGTAGAGGTCGAACTTAACCGATGCAGCCGTACAAACAGAAGTATAAGCCATGACGGTACTTACAGACAAGTCGGAGGTTGACCAGACCGATGCAGCCCTGCTTGTTGAAGAACTCGCTGAGATCTACACTACTCCTACTCCTAAGGGTAGTAATTTGTATTGAATGATTGGATGTCTTTTTATACCCGGAGCCTAAGCATGAATCCTACTCAAGTACAACTCATTACAATTTTTGGTATAAAAGAAAATGTTCCTAACTCAAAATAACTTAAGCCCTAATATTTCCCTTTTTGTAGAGTCTGACATGTATTTTTCGACGTCAACCATAGCTCATCGTCGTTATCTGCTGATGTCATTCGAAGAGAGCCGATTCTAGTGCCGTATCTGAATCAGCTGATATTGATCCTTATGCAATCGAATCCTTGATTGACACAATCTTGGAAGCTTCGAGTTCCCGCGTTCTTCTTCCTAAATTTTGGTATAAACACACGTCCCTCAATTTTGGGATAAAAATGATTTTATTCTAAAATTCCTATTTACCTGTTTACCATGTCTCAACCGTTTTATTCTGAGATATACGCGTGACTCCTGATTTCCCGGTTCGAGTCTTATATAATATCCTAATAGTATCTATTCCAACTCACTCGGTCCATTTGCTTTTTCCTTTTTTCTCGAGCAAATCTTCATAGCCGACGCCGCCATCGCCAAAGCCTCAACTCTAGCAAATCTTCTTCCCTATCAAGCTTTTATTCAAGCGATCCTCCTCAGGTTGAATCTATTTCGGCTGCAATAGCGACCAGTGACCACGTCCATGAGGTATGCTCTCAAGTTTTTATTCTCCAAGTACCGGCCGCTACCCTGTATTTCCTTTCTTCTCAAATTTATTTAATCTAATTTCTAGAAAATGAGGAACGACATTTTGATTCTATCAGGAGTTGCTCCTAATGTCTATTTTCTTGGGCCTATCGGTGACCCTGATCTAGCTGATTTTATCCATCAAGAAACCAACCAAATCCCCTTCAAACAATCTGTAGTGGATTTGTCCTCCTAGAACACCAAAACTCCCTTCAGAAATTGGTCCAAAATGCCTAGGGAATGGAGAGACTGGTTTCGTAGGGTATCCGAGAAAAATGCTGGTGATTGGGAGGTTTATGATTTAATCAATGGTTGACACTCTCGTTGTCTGAGATGGAGCGGAATGATTCACTCCTAATTTCTATATCTTATTTCTGGTTGAACACCCTAAATGCTTTTATTTTTTGTCACAGCTCAATGACCATCACTTTGGCCGATGTTTATATATTGACCGGCCTTAGAATAACAGAATCAATGCAACCTTATGACTTTTTAAGTGCTGGATCCAAGAAATTAGCCAAAATATCAGACTGCATAGGATGGGCGAGTTACACTCTGAACCATATTGGAGATGGGTCAACAGTTAGCGAAAGAGAATATGTAGCCTTCTTGAACATGTGGTTAGAAAGATTCATCTTCTGTGGGCCATCTTGTGGTTCGACTTATAATCATAAACTCATCGCAGAGCATCTGGCAGTAGGCGTCGAAATTCCTCTTGGCAAATATCTGTTGGGATCAGTTTACCATTTGATGCATCAGGTGGCCGCTCAGCTGCTAAAGAATAAAGCTGTGCACACCATCAGCGGCCCTTGGTGGCTAATACAAATATGGTTAAACTTGTATATGCATCAGATTGTAAGGCCAAATCTCTAGATTTTGAGCTTCCCTTCCTCCAACTTTGATGAAAAGTACAGAGGCAAAGAAGGAAGAACCCGCCAGTGCATGAACTATGGTGAAGCCGCATCGACAATAACAATTGATGTCGATGTTGGCCATCTCTTCAAGAGGTTTTTAGAGGGTTTGATGCAGATACCCTGACTTGACTACCCTATGATGAGGATGAGAACAGGGAGTTGTCTGCCCATTCAAATTTCGATTTGAATCAGGCTGCTCAGACGAAACGGCAGCTGCAATCTTCAACTCCTTCATCAAACCTTGTGTTCTTCTAGCCGAATTTCGTCATGGCCGAGGCAAAATATCTATAGGTTCCTTCCTTCTAGGCAACCTTCCAACCTATGAGTTTTACAACCCATCTTTTGTAGCTTGTCAGTTTGGTCTTGGTCAACTGTCTCCTTAACTATTCTTTAAGGATATATTGAAGCCAAGAGAGGGTATTAGTGAAGTACTAGAATCCTCTAGAGTCTTCCAACTAAGATCAGATCTTCCTTCCTCTTGCTTGCATGACTGGACAAGAGTCAACTTCTCTTCTAACCTTTTTGACTCTTGGTGGCAAGAATGACACTCCCATCTCTTCTATGGTCCGGTCCATCCTAGATGCATAGCTCCGGATGGAGAGTTTGCTTCTGACAGTTAGGTAACTTACCATTCCTTTTTTAGAAAAAATATTCGATGAATTCCCCCGCCAACTATTCTAATAGACCTTTTCAGGACACCAAATTCGATCCTCCAAGCTTGGACAGGAAGGGGCATCCTATAGATTATCAGCCACCATGCCCAGTTTTAAGAATAGGATCAGCTGCACCTCCACTAAAGAAGCTGATGAAAACTCATGCTGCCTCCATAATCGTAATGTATCAATCTTCAAAGCACAAGGCGGCCCAAGGGACAACCCAGAAAACCGTTACTGGGAAAAGACTTCGTAGAATGAGACTATCGACTGCCTAGGTAAAACAATTACCCCTCATCTCAAAGTGATATTCAAGTTCTAATCCCGTTCCTTTCTTCACAGTTATCAACCATTGTGTCTCAACCTGCTCTGGTTGTGGAACTGTTGTCCCAAGCATTCAAGCCATCATCAACTAAACCTTCATCAGCCGATCCTCAAAAGGAGCCGATTTCGGTTGAAACAACCGACATTTCCAAGAC